TGGATCTCCGACAAGAGTGTGAAGGAGAAGTCAGCTCTAACGGAGGCCAGGTCGAAGATCGAAGCCCGAATGGAGAAGCACAAGACCTTCGAGCGCGACGTGAAGAAGGGCCTCAACAACGAAGAGAGGATGGACCCAGATCAGGAGAAGCGGGCGGAATGCAGAGCCTGGATTCGAGAGTTCGTGAACCAGCTCTTGCAGGAGGTTGATGAGTTCACCGCTGCCATTGAGCAGCTTCAGAAGAAGAAGACATCCAAGAGCTCCAACGACGAGTCCCAGTCGGCTTTCAACAAAAAGATGCAGGAGTCACATCGATGGCATGTCAACAAGCTCGAGCAGCTCCTGCGAAAGGTGGAGAACCAAGACATAGACCTCGAAAGCTTAGACGACTTGAAGGACAGCTTGGAATGCTACCTGGATCCCGAGCAGAACGTGCGGACCCCTGAGGCCTTTGCAAACTTCGACGACACCTACTCGGACTACAACCTTGAGGAGGTTCAGGACTACCTTGCTCAACGTGTTCCGAGCCACAAAGATGATGAGAGGGAGGAGAGGGAGGAGCCGAAAAAGGAGGAGATCAAGCAGCCGAAGCCCGAGCCGGCCAAGCACATGCCTAAGCCCGCCCCGACGGTTTCGGTGCATCCTGTCCACAAGCCAGTGGTCGAGGAGAAGCCCGAAGATCCGAGTTCAAGCGCGAGTGCTCCGGCAAAGACGGCCGCTCCCAAGCAGATCGCAACAAAGGCGGCGACTGCAGCAGCAGCTGTGATGCAGGCGGCATCGCCACCACCTGTGCCGTCTCTGCCGACCCACCCTCCTCCACCGGCCCAGCTTCCACCAGCCCAGGCTCTGTCGCAGACGGGCCCCGCCACCCAGCCCACCCAGCCCACCCAGCCCACCCAACCGCCTCCCAAGCAGCCACCCCAAGTGGCACAGGGCCAGGCACCGCCGCAGCCTGAAGTGCAAACCGTCGCCACCGCCGTGCTGCAGGCCAGGGCCTTGCCAGCGCCCACTCTCCCCCCGACCGCTGCTGTACCGGCCATGCCCAACCACAACGCCAGCCCACTTGAGCCCCCCAGCGTTCCACCGCCACCGCCCACACAGCCGGCGCAGCAGCCTGGACCCAAAAAACCACCAGCGATCAACCGAGCCCCACCCAACGAAGCGCCGCCAGCTCAGCCGCAGGAGTCTCCTGTGCTTGCCGTTCCAGCTGTGCCTGCTGTGCCAGCGGCGATGCCCGCCGTACCCGCTGTTCCAGCCGTTCCGGCCGTTCCGCCTGTGCCTGCTCCGGCACCAGCTGTGGTGCCACTTGATGCAAACGCCGGAGCCCCGGCATCGCCAGCAGCGTACGACGTGCCACCTCTGACCAAAGCACAGGAGAAGGCTCATGCGCTCTTAGAGTCCTCTGCACGGCACATGCCCCAAGCCGGGGACGTTCGAAGGAACAGGAAGTACCAGCCCCAGAAGTATCACATGCAGCATGATAGCCAGGGCAGTCCCGTGTACCCCACGGACACGATCCGAAGCTTCGAAGAGCCTGCGCTCTTCGAACGCTTTGATCAGGACACTTTGTTCTGGTCTTTCTACCATCAGCAAGGCACCTATCAACAGTACCTAGCTGCAAAGGAGCTCAAGAAGCTCTCCTGGCGCTATCACACCAAGTACCTCACGTGGTTTCAACGGCATGAGGAGCCGAGGCTGACAGCACCAGACTTTGAGCGTGGAACCTACGTGTTCTTCGACTTCGACGGCCAGTGGGCTCAGCGGATCAAGGCGGACTTCACATTTGAGTACGCCTGGCTGGAGTCCGGAGAGATCTGAGCGATCGAAGAGGACACGTTTCAGTTTCACTCAGAGTCCAGGCGACGGCATCAGAAGCATGTGGACAGCAAAGAGCGCAGCGCCCGAGCCCGGAAGCCCGATATCCTCCCCGATCCCTCTTCGGCCTCCTGTCTCAGGTCTGGGAGTCTATCTCCTCATTCAGCACTCGCCGCAGAGGGTGGAAGCCTCAGCCGTCTCAACTTCGATGCTTCTGTGGATTCCGCGCCCTCCGAAGGAAGGTGCCGTGGTGCACATCTTCACGGGCATTGGCCTGCCCCGCCCTCAAGAGAAACTTGAATCCATAAGCCTGCCTAAACCCTGAACCCTAAAACCCTAAACCCTAAACCCTGACCCCTTAAACCCTAAAAGCCTTAACGCCCTAAAACCCCGAAAACCCCTGAAAGCCCTGGAAAGTCCTAGGCTGGTGGCGGACCTGGGCCATTTCATCGACATGCCCAACTTCTCCTTAGCAGACTCTTGGCCTTTTAGGAGGGCTTTTGGTTAGGGTTTTAGGGGTGTTTTAGGGTTTTAATTTGGGTTTTTAGGGGTTTTGGGGTTTTTAGGGGTCTTAGGGTTTGGGGTGCATGAGCATGCCATGATCTGCAGCACGTTGAACTTTTCCCTCATTTCCCTCAGCGCAAAGCAATTCGGGTTCCAATTTTCCCAGGCCTCGACATTTGTTACTTTTGTGTAAACGGACAACTCCTACAGAGTTTGTCAGATCACGTCACTTTACTTTCAATCCCGTCTGTCTCAAGGAAATTGAACAACATGTTTTCGTTGCCCCCTGTGTGCCTGCCTGCCCGACCCAAGGCTGTCCTCCTCGCCCAAGAACGGGCTACATGCTTTGAACGGGCTACATGCATTTTTGCAAGAGCGTCTTTTCGTGAAGAGTAGGGTCGTCGTAATCCTCCCCACCGCTGAAGCCAAGCCAAGCCAAGCCAAACTCCTGCTCTTACACCGCCCCCACGGTCTTTAGACTCCCACTCCTCTTGTTACTTCTTCCGCAGAAGCGAAGCCAAGCCTAGGGAAGATCAGGATCTGAAAACTGCCCCCTTTGCGAGACTGCACACCATGCTGGATAATACCATAGCTGCTCCATAGAGTTGTGGGCCCTTGCCGCTTTATCATCCGCAACAATTGTATTCTTCTTGCCTCCTTTTCCGGAGCACCGAGCAGCTGCCACCAAACATTCGATCACTTGGCAGGGAGCGCCCGTGCGGGATTCATAGCCGCGCATTTTTTCTGGGGAGCTAGCAAATCCCTAGCCGCTGCATTCTCTCTGACGCTGGCTTTGGCAGCTCAGGCTCGGCGAATCAGCCGGAGGCCATGGGCATGGCCCGTTTTGGGGAAGCGGAAGGATCGATTGGAGTACTTCAGGCTTTGAAGATGCTTCGGGCCACTCCAAGCGGAGCATGCTGCACGGCTTTGGCACCACGAGATACCATAAGTCTCAACACAGGTTGGTCCTGCTCCGCCTCACGCAGCTGGTTGCTCTTCTTGGTGCACCTTGGCAGATACTTGTGCCGCTGTGTAGCCGCGACGCGTGCCTAGCATTCCACGTCGTCGGCTGTGCTCAGGTATATCACTGGGCCGGGAACTCTGCATGAACAGTTCAGGATGCTGTAGTCATTCAATTCGCGCCGCACTGCCACACACTACTGTTGATGATATAAATCCTGCACTACCTTAACGACCCTAAACTATGGGAATGATGGTATATTCCTTATTATGCGTAATGCAGGATTTATATCATCAACCGTATGTACAGCGTGAGTGCAGATAGTCCACTAGTTGACCACGGCGCGACTTCTTGCTTGATGACGAGAGCTTCAGGTTTTCTGGCGAGAGGAGGATGGAAGCTTCTACGATGGCCTGGTACATGCCAAGTGGCTTCTTCGCGGCAAAAAGAAACTGGTCATCACGACTGGCGCCTTCGTTGAACCGGCCGAGGACCTATATCTTTGGACTCGTCCACTATTCCGTCCGGTGCGGAGCCAACAGGAACCACTCGTGTTCAGCTGTAACTCCTCTGATGCTCTCAGGATCTCCCGGCCCATCTCCAAGTTGGGTCAAGACCTTCACACCGCTGCCTTGGATGGTGACCTTCCTCTGACAAGGCCCCGGCACACTGGGCATCACGATCGGGAGAGGTAGGCTGAGGTAGGTGTAGGTTGCTGAAATTCGCCGGTCTTGGAGGGAGGGGGGCCTTGAAGGGTCATCCAAGCCTCAACTCCCCCTCACCTTCGCAAAGTTTGGAAGTGTGCTCGATGAAAGAACCTGCATGCCTTGAAAACTTTGCATGGCGCGGGTGTGAGGAAGCTGCTGAAGCCGGACCAGAACGGGCAGGCACACCTTGACTCCAGCTGTCAGAAGTTGTCAGTGCACAGACAATTCTTCATACTGTTGCAGGTTCTAGATGTCAATGCGACTGCGAAGGACGGGCGCGGGATGACGTGCCTCGGATGCAGTTAGTTCCGTGAAGTCTTGGACAAGGGATCTAGCCATGTTCTTGTTGCTTATCGTGATTCATGTGTCCCATTGGCACAGAGAGAGCAGAGCGCTGATGACCATTACTGGCCATCCCTCCTTTCCACGGCAAGGCCTCTCATGTTGGCGGCTGCTGCAGGGCATGTGGAGGTGGATGCTTTGCACCGTTGGCACACTTCCGTCGCTGCGCCCGTTTAGGACCAGATCGTCATCATCCTCGCGATGATGATGGTGGTGATGATGATATATGTATATATATATATATGATGCTGCTCATCATCATGGTCAGCGCCATCTTCTGCAACAGCCCATGTCATCACCGTCCTGCCGCTAGAGCTGCCTGCTCTGCTTCTGCGACCACTACCACTGCCAATGATAATCACTCGTCCTGCTCCTCCTCCTCCTCTTCCTGCTACTACTGCTACTGCTACTGCTACTGCTACTGCTACTGCTACTGCTACTGCTACTGCTACTGCTACTGCTACTGCTACTACTACTGCTACTACTTCTACTACTACTGCTACTACTACTACTACT